TAACTATAAACTGCTATTATTGCAACCCCTCCCACATATATGAAAAATTTTACTCAACCTTGTGTTCAGATTCACTTTAGAGGCCAGGATTTGCCCTAGAATGATACTTAAAAATGTTTATTGAATGAATGAAAATGAATGAATGAATGCTACAAAACAAGAACCATCTCATGTATTCTGTTCCCTGGATGACTTTACTGGTGCTGAGGGTAGCTGCTAGAAGAGGCAAAGGCCAAAAACATCTTCCTTTAAATTCAACCATTTTGAAATTCATTTGAACTAACGATTCTCTTTCTGATGGTTACAAACAACCTACAGTAATGCACACCTTCCTGTCAATCGCTTTAATTAGGCTAATAACTCAGCTGAGATAAGCTTAAATGGAAGAGAGAAAGAGAAAATGATAAAGATGAAATATGTTTAATACTCTATGATCTAAATTTCACTGGCAGGTAACATCAATCCCCTTGACATCTCTCAAAGTTTTATAATGAGTGATGGGAAAAGTTAAGAATTTTAGAAACTCTTTCCTACCACCCTCCATACTGAAAGACTCCTCTACTATTTGTTTTAACATCCTACAAAAACACAAATTTATGGAGCCTTTTAAAAATTATAATGCCTTAAATCTTACATTTAGTTAATTCACTAAGTCACCAAAGAATTAGAGAATTTCAGGATTGGAAGAGACTTCAGCAGCCATTCAGCTCAACCCACAGCCAGAAAATAATCCCCATCACAACCAACTTGACAAGTGATCAGTCAGTTTTTCTCTTAGGAAGCTTTTCCTGAGATCAGGCCAAAAATCTGCCTCTTTGCAAATTATTATTATTTCTTTTTTGGTTGAGGTGGTCAGGGCTAAGTGACTTGTCCTGGGTCACACAGCTACTAAGTATCAAGAGTCTGAGGCTGTATTTGAATTCAGGACCTCCTGACTCCAGGGCTCTATCTACTCTGCCACCTAACTGCCCCCTCTTTGCAAATTCTACTTATTGCTCCCTGGTGTCAAAAACACAAACCTAATTCCTCTGCCATGATAATCTTTCAAATACTTGAAGATGGAGATTATATCCACCCTTTACTTCTCACCCCTTTTCTCTTTTCCAGCCTAAAAATCCCCAATACCTTCAGCCAACCATCCCTTCTCTATTCTTGGCACCCTTTTCTGGACACTCTCAAGCTTATCTATGCCCTTCCCAAACTGCAGTGCCCAGAACTAGACAGATTACTCCAGAACAAAGTACAGCAGGTCATCTCAGATTTGACATATCCAAAAGAGAACTCATTATCTTTCCTCCAAAACCTGCCCCTCTTCCCAAAGTCCTTATTTCTGTCAAAAGTCCCGTTATTTCAGTCTCCTCAATATTATTCTTGACTCCTCTTTTCCTCACCACACATATAAAATCAGTTCATTATATTGTTGTTTCTACCTCCACACATCTTTTGCAGCGGCCCCCTTCTTGATCAGCTACCACTTCGGCGCAGGCTCTCATCACGCTTGCTTGCCTAGGCTACTACAGTAGTGAGCTATTAGGGAGTTCTCTAATTAAGTTACCTGGACTCCCCCCTCCCAAGTCCATTTTCTATACAGAAATCAAATAGTTTTTTTTTTAAAACACCTATCTATGTCCCTATCATACTCAATAAACTTTAGTGTCTCACTACTGCCTCTTCATTATACCTCACTCTCCTTCACTCACTCTAGGGGTCCAGCCCAACTAGTCTTTTCTTTGTTTCATATCTATAGTACTCTTATTTCTCATCTCCATGCCAGAAATGATTGGTGTTTACCTAACTCTACCACAGAATCCTTTTCTTTCTTCAAGATAAAGCTCAAGTATCGTCAGCAAGAAGACTTTTCTAATTAGTGTTCTCTCTAATTATATGTATTTAGTTAGACTTATATGTTGTCTTTCCTGATGGAATGTAGCTTCTTCAAGACTGAGACTACATCATTCTTTTTATATTCCCAGCTCCCAGTACTGTCTGGCACATAGAAGGTGCTTAATAAATGCTTGATTGTTCATTACCATTCTGCCTCTCTACACAGCTCCAAGACATCATTAGCTTTTTTTTTTTTTAGCTACTATACCATACTGTGGACTCATATGGACCTGGCATTCCACTAAAACTTCCAGATCTTTTTCAGATAAATTGCTATCTAACTGATCTTATTTTTGGGAAGTAAAATTTTTAGATCTAAGACTTTATTTCAATCCCTATCAAATTTCATCTTATTAGATTTAGCCCAAATGTCACAGCTTGTTAAGATCTCTTTAAGGATTCTAACAACCACTGTTACCTATTCCTCTAGGTTTCATATCATTTTCAAATATATTACATTTCACAAGTATATAAGGTATACCTATCAGATTTATAGTAAAATGTGCATCACATTTATATTATGGAAATATCACTGGGGAAAAAATGAAACTGAAAGCTATGCAATCATAATGAACAAGTTTGGCTCAAGAGAAAACAGACCTATAACTTTTCATCACACAAGTGGGGAACTAAGGAGGTAGAATATGGCTTACACTGTCAGACATACTCAATGTGTTAGTTTTCCTGAATTGCTTTATCTTCCCTTTTTTAAAAAAATCTTTGTTACAACAGATGGCTTATTGGGAAGAAGAGAGGGAAATATATTTGGAAGTGAATACAATATGAAAACAAAAAAACATCAAAATAAAAATAAGAGGGCAGCTAGGTGGTACAGTAGATAAGAGCACTGGCCCTGGAGTCAGGAGATCCTGAGTTCAAATCCAGCCTCAGACTCACCAGCTGTGACTCTGAGCAAGTCACTTAACCCTAATTGATCACCAAAAAAATAAAATAAAATAAAAATAAGATAAAACATTTCAAACAAATATCATTAAAAACCTTTTAAAACTGAAATTCCTTGTGCTTACTTCATCTGAAAAATTACTATCTTTAAAGAGATAATCCTTCCAACAAAAGATTTTAAGCTAAAATGAAACATATTTGGTTTAAAATAAAAGTAAACTTTTGCACTTAAAAATTTTTCTATTTGTATTTAGAATGACGTTTTTATACAGTAATCACAACAATTTATTTTTTTAAAATACAGCATGTTTTAGACACTGACTTAAAAAATGGTAAAGAGAATTTATTCATTCACTGAACTTACATTTCAGTGCTCTAAGATAAAAATGTTATTAAAAAATCTTTACACCACTGGTAATTGACAACTAAAGATTTCTTTACAGAATATTTGAAAAAATAATCCAGAATTTCTTTGCTAAATTCCAACTGCCACAGTTCTTATACCTTTTCCATTTCCACTGACTTTTTACCATCATGGTTTGGGAATAAAGGCAGCAAATTCAATATTTTGGTGTCCAAATACAAATTTCTCAATATAGCTCTAGAAATCTTTAGTCTGGAGTCTACGTTGTTAAAGTTTGATATTATAACTTTACTTAAGTAATGGATTCTTTCTGACTAAAGAATGAAACCTAATCTGTCTAAACAAGATAAATGTCTGTGGAGAATTCTTCCTTAGACATTAGTTACCTAATCTATTTTGATCTAAAATATTATTTCTAGAACTAGTTTATAAAGATAGAAATTTAACTTTGTAAATTTCCCTTGGGATTGTTATTGGAGTTTACTATCTAACCACATTAGATTTTTATTTTAAATACCAACATACTTGTTTTGCAATTGTCAAGAGGCCTTTAATTAAAAGCAAATTCCTAACACCCCCAGCAAAAAGATATGAAAAAAACTCATGTATTCAAGATTTTAGCCTTTGGTTAAGAGTGTTTTTCTTTTTTTAGGTGGAGAGGGAGGCCACTGCTTTCATTTTATTGAATTGACTTTTGGGGATTTGTGCATTTACACTTATTAGATGAAAAAAAGTTGTTGATACAACTCAGTCCTTTTTCAAGATAATCAAATATTTAAATACAAATTTTGCAAACTAGTTTATTATTTCTGCTTTGATTATGATTGTAGCAAGTTGTTAAACTTTGGCAACTTACAAATATGTTAGAAGCATTCTAGGGGTAGCTAGAAACTGAAGCTAGGGTTCCGAGGTGTATAAGGGTGTATACGGGTGCTTTCAACTGCTTCTATTTAGTGCAGAATAATTTTCTTATTTTGGATTTCGAAATGACTGTTATAAATCACAATTACATATGAGATTTTGCTGTAATGTCACTGCAACACCTAAATTTTTCAGAAGTAACTAAACTGCGCTGCCATTTTATCTAAATGTTAGGATTTTATTACAACTAAAGTCTGCACACTTGAAAACTTATAAAATAGTACTTAAGAGTAACTTACTTTGAGGGAAATGTTAAAAGTGAAACATTCTCAAAATCAAAGAAGCCAAAAATAAATTCATAATCCATGAACGGCTAACTTTGAGATTTTGGAAGAAAAGTGCTACGGCCTTATCATTTTGCAGTGTTCCCTGGGTTTGCTAACTATGCAGGCTTGCTAGTCTCAACCAGGTTTTAATAGAAAACTTAACACTATGGAAATTTTTGTTGTTGGTGGTGATGGTGATTTAAAACTTCCTAAAAGCAAAACTTTAGTGTACTTTTGGAGGAGTCCTGATGCCATAATATGTAAAAACCATTAAATATTAAATGGTATAAAACATTTGAAATTGAGCATCGAATCATTTAACTTTTGAGGCCTTTTCTTTTTTTAAGCTTTAGGGCAGGGCCACAGCTAACGGAGGAGGGAATTGAAAGCTGCAATCGCTTCATGTAAGAAAAAGAGTGCTCAGAAGAGGGAGACACACAAAAGTGCTTGTCATCTAACCAGGGAAATGATGACTGGGTGTGCGTGTGGGGACTGGGGGGTGGGGGGGTGGGGTGGCAAAGCAAAACGTCAGTCAGATCCTAATCTGCATAAAAATGATCTCGTGAAATCAGAAGGCTGCAAATCCGATGAGAAAACCATCAGGTTAAATATAGAACACGAAACCTAGTTGAGAGGTAGGGAGGAAAAAATCTGAAACAAACCTTTCTCTAGTACCACCAAACGAAGTTTGCAATGACGGTGGAATTATCTTGAAGGCTTAAGGGGGGGGAAGGAGTGCATGTAATGGAATTGATGGAACAAAACAAAAAAATGTTTAAATCATGCAAAATGTAACTGCAATCGTTCCCAGCTCCCCTCCCCACACCAGTCCAAAACCACCCCCATTTTACACACCGAAGATGAAGGTGATTTTTCTGTTTGTTTACCCCCTCACCCTCCAACTACTTCCCCCACCCCTCCCCCACCCCCACCCAACACAGGCTGAAGAAAACGCAGCAAACATTCCAGTACTAGGCACATGAGGATGAGGACTATTATTATTGAACCACAGACACATTATTATTATTATCGGACAGAAAGAGAGAGAGAGAGGGAGAGAAAGAAAGAAAGAGAGAGAGAAGAATTAGGGTTACTCGACCTTTCGTCCCCTGCATGTTCAGAGTCTGTCATGTTTTTGTCAAGAACGGGGTTGGGGGGTTTGGAGAAAAGGCTCTCAAAGGCCATGAGGCTGGTGGAGGAGGTGGTGGAGGAGGTGGTGATGGTGGAGGTGGTGGTGGAGGGATGAGCAGCAGGAGGTGGCGAGGAGGACACTGCCCTGTGGCCACCGACCAGAGACCCTAGCGCGCACACGCCCTGCTGCTGCTGCTGCCTGACAGAGAGAGACACACACACTTGGACTCGGTGATCACCACCTGCTCTCGGCCGCCGCTGGGACTCGGTGGTGAGAGATGATGAATTGGTAAAAACTCACGGTTACTTAGTGAGCGACACAGAGAGACACAGAGACTTTTCCAGTCTATTAACAATCACAGCAGAAAGATGGGGCTCTAACTGCAAACACAGGGCAATGGCCCCCCTCGCTGCCGGGCGCTGCTGGCGCTGCTGCTTTAGTCTCTATCCGCCGCTGCTGGCCGAGGCTTGGGAGCGAGCGGGTGGCGTGGAGGAACACGGGGATTTGGATAGTGGCCGTGGCGGTGATTTCTTCTCACCAACATGGCGGCGCCCGAGACAGGCAGCTCGACAAAATGGCGACGGCGCCGGCCGAAATGCCTTTTCCCCCGGACTCAGGGAGGAGGGATGGGGGTGGGGGGAGGTGAGACAGAATTCTTCCGCGCGCGGCCCTCGCTCTGGCGCCTCCGCTCCTCCGCTGCGCAGGCACACATGCATGTACACACGCGCGCGCGCACACACACACACACACACATACACACACACATACGCACACCCACATAAGCCCGGCCCCGGGCCCCACTGGGAAGAGGCCCGGGCGGGCGGGAGGGTCCTGCTGAGGGTGTTGACCATTGGGGAAATCTCCCTGCCAATCATCCCCTAAGGGCGGGGCCTCTCTTCCCTCCTTCGGTAGCGGCGGGGATAGAGGCGGAACGCCAACATGGCGGCCATGGCGGCTCTGTCACCCTTGGTGGGGGGGGAGGGCGGAGAAGAGGAGGAAAGAGAAAGTGGTTGCCCCCTCCGCTGAGGTAGGGACGGCGCAGGGATATCTCCGGGTGGAGATGAGAGTGGGCCGTGTCACGTGCAGCTTAAGGCTGCGGCTGAGCCGGAGAAGACGGCGGAGAGGAGGGGCATGGCCGCTGCCTGGCCCCCACCCTCCCAACACACAGCTCCCGTTGCGGTAGTAGGCCTCAAGGTCCGGCTGCCTTTCTTCTTGCCGCCGCTGCTTCTCCGTGCCCTGCTTAGAGAACAAAGGAGAGGGAGAGAAGGCTGTAGGCGCTTCCCCTTTCCGCGTTCCGGGGCTCTATCGGCCCGCAGGGTCTGGGGATCTAACAGAGCCTAAGGCATCTGGCGCAGCCTCAGTCATTTTGAGGTGTGGCTGCAGAGCTAGGCCTGAGCTAGGCCTGAGGCCGAGGAAATGGAGGCTTGGGAGGGGGAGCAGGGCCAGTTCGGTGTCAGGGGCGGCCCAAAGATCAATTCTACGCACCTACACCCCGACCTCCCCACCCCATTCCTCCCTTGTTGAGGGGCAGCCGCCGGCGGATTTAATATTTCATTATCGGTCTTTTGTCTGAGAATAGGCCTCACCTTCTTGGAAGTTATTGTTACTTTGTTAATACTTTACAAAAACAAAGTTTCCCAGGCACTGATCTCTCCAACGAAAACAAAGTATCCCAACCACGGTCTTTCTGAAAAGTGACTGTCCCTTTTTTGTGTGAGGGCCCTGCTCAATTAGGTACTTACTCATAACAGCTAACATTTATTTAACACTTTAAGGCTTGCAAGCTGCTTTACATGGGTCGTCTCATTTAATAAATGTATGCTTGTGGATTGACTGTGAGAGATGGAGTATGAAGAAATTACACTTGTATAACAAAGCTGTACTTGTACTTCGCATCAAATTACCTACTAGGTGATGATTTTTTTTTTGTTGGCTGCAGCTCTCAAGGTTATGTTCTGCATCTGATGAAATCTTTTTTGAGTATGAAAGCAGCACACTTACATTCCTTTATGTGTTTTTTTTTGTTATTATTCAGTTGTTTTTTCAGTTCTGTCTGACCTGCATGTGTACTGGTGTAGAATTTGGCTTTTGGCTTTAGAATAAGTAAAGAGGACCCCAAACTACTTCTAATTTGTGTCTGGTTCATACTTAACACTTTAATATTGAAGGCAAGTGGCTTGTTCCTTAGAATAATAATGACAGTTAATATTTATGTGTTTATGTAGCTAAGTCGTATGTTTTCATATTTAACACTTTATTAGGACAACTTGTTACATGAAATAATAAAACTGACCACTGCATAAGCTTTAAGATTTACAAAGGGCTTTACTAAACTACTAGATCTCAGAATTTTATTGTAGCCTTTAAACTGATAAGCCTCAGTGATTCCTCTACCTCTTAGCCCCATCTACTCATTTCTTTTGTGTTTCATCTGGTTACAGATAACAGACTTTTAGGTTGCAATAAGTATTTCATTTAGAGATATAAGTAAATAATCAGAATACAATGAGGTTAGGGACTTTCACTTTTCTCTTTGTGAAGGATACAAAATACCTAGGGGAATGCTTGGCATTTAGAGGAGTCTAATAAACACTTTTTTGTTAATGGGATTATGACCAACACAACTACTACTATGCTCCTTCCAGGTTACTATTAAAAACTAGTAAATATTAGGAGATATTTATTGGTTCAGTATTTTCTCTTGGAAATAAGAGAAGGTTGGGGCAGGCTTCTTATAGAAAGTGGTATTTTACTTGCAACTTAAAGCAAGTCAGAGGGGTCAGTAGCTGGAATAACAAGAGTGGAGGAGGGACAGAGAGTGTTTCAGGACTGGGAGACAGCCAGAGATAATGCCTGGAGCTAGAGTTGGAGTGTCTTGTTCATGGAACAAGGTCTGTGTCACATCTCAAACTTAGCTCATTCTATGAGTGGATCTGGAGTTAGAAAGACTTGACTTAAAATTCTCCCTCAGACTGGTACTACTTGTATAACCCTGGTTAAACTCACTTAACAACTCTTTGCTTTTGTTTCTCCATTTCCAAAACGTGGATAATAGCACCTATCTCCCTGGATTGTTGTGAGAACAAAATGAGATGTTTTTTAAAAAATATATTTTGTTTTAATCGGCCAATATCTTCCTTACTCTTCCATTCCAACTCCTGCAATTGAGAACACAAGAAAAACAAAACTTATTACAAACATGTATAGTTGATCAAAATGAATTTCTACGTTAGCCATGTAATTTAAATGAATTTTTATACTGGCCGTGTCAAAAATTTTTGTTTCATTCTACATTGAGTCCTTTACCTCTCTATCAGGAGGCACATAGTCAGCACTATTACCTATCGTAATTATTATTAACTACTATTGTTATTATTATTCCTTCCTTAGCACCATCTCTTAAAATCTTTAATCTTTAAAATTCAGCTCTAGCACCACCATCTACATAAGGCCTTTCTGATCACCCAGCTTCCATTGCCATCTATCCCTCCAAAATCATCTCATATCTACTTTTGAATATTTTGGGGCATTCATGTAGCATGTTTCTTCATTAGTCCTGGTTGTTAAGAGTTCAACACAATAGTATTCCATCATATTTATATGTGATTTATATTCATTCTCCAGTTTATGGACACCCCCTCAGATTCCCATTCTTTGCCACATGAGGTAATATTTGTAAAGTGCTTTGCAAACCTAACCTCCAGGTATTAACTAACCATGTTAGTTATTACTATTCCCTAGGGCCACCTCAGTCTCCTATTCAATCACTTTGCCTCTGTCAGATTCCAAGCCCCTCAGGAAAGTCCTCCTGAGGCCCTCTTCTGATTGGTGACTACTTCTCCTGGAACACTATTTCAGAAAAGCCCCAGTCACTTCCTCTTTTCTGGCCACTTCCTCCACAGCCTTCTCCCCAACCACTGTATACATAGCCTTTCTTTACCTATTATTCATCCAAAACAGGACTCATTGTCTTTTCCCTCAAACTCATTCCCCTTCTGAACTTCACCTTTCCTGTAGAAGGCACCACAAGAAGTGGCAGAAGGCACCACCCAGGTATGCAGCCTGTGTCATCCATTATTCTACTGTCACTCACCCCATATGTACAATCAGTTGTCATTTCTAGTCTTTACATCTTTTCACCCAGTTAGACACAACCCCATTCTCTCCATTCACCCACTTACTATTCCAGTTCAGTATGTTATTATTTCTCTACCATTTCTGGGCTGGACAATGGGAATAATTTTCAACCTGGAAAGACTTATGTGGACTGATGCTGAGTGAGGTGAGCAGAACCAGGAGAACATTGTACACAGTAACAGCTGCCTTGTGTGATGACTTTAATAGACTTAGCCCTTCTCAGCAATGCAAGGATCTCCGGAAGTCTCCAGATGGAAAATGCTATCCACATCTAGAGAAAGAACTATGGAGTTTGAATGCAGATCGAAGCATACTATTTGCTCTTTTTTTTCCTTCTCTTTTGTTTCCTGTTTCTTGTGGTTGCTCCTATTGGTTCTAATTCTTCCTTACAACATGACTAATGTGAAAATATGTTTAATAGAAATGTATATGTAGAGCCTCTATCAGATTGGATGCCGTCTTGGTGGAGGGAGGGTGGGAGGAAGGGGGAGAAAAATTTAAAACTCAAAAGTGTATGGAAGTGATGGTTGAAAACTAAAAATAAATTAATTTTAAAAAGAGGAATAATTTTCTTATTGACTTCTCTGTTTCACTGCTGTCCTCATTCCAACCCAACCTCCACATAGCAACTGTTAAGAGTGAGTTTCCTAAAGTGCAAGTCTGACTTTGTTACTTCCCTACTTAGTTAACACCCTGGCTCCCTCTAGTATGGATTCTAAATTCTTCTGATATTTAAAGTCCTTCACAATTCTTTCTCAATCTATCTTTCCAGCTTTGTTTCATATTTAGTCTTCTTTGTGTCACTTGTGTGCAGTAAAACTGGCCTTCTTAGTATTCTTCATACAGGGCACTCTATCTTTCTATGCCTTGGTACAAGCTGCTTCCTGTGTCTAGAATATCTGGGGCAGCTAGGTGGCAGAATGGATAGAGCACTGGAGTCAGGAAAACCTGAGTTCAAATGTGGTCTCAAACACCAGCTGTGTGATCCTGAGCAGGTCACTTAACCTTATTTCCTCATCTTTAAAATGGGAATAATAACACCTATCTTGCACATTGTTGTGAGAATCAAATGAGATGATAATTGTAAAGTGTTTAGCACAGTTTCTGTAACATATAGTAAGCAATATATAAATGTTAGCAATGATTATTATTACTCCTTCCTTACCACTACCTCTTAAAATCTCTAATCTTTTTTCAAGACTCAGTTTAAGCACTTCTATCTACATAAGACTTCTCTGATCCCCCAGCTTCCAGTGCTATCCATCCTTCCAAAATCATCTTGTATCTATATTTTTGTGTGTATACAACACGTATGTAATGTTATATTTTTGCTGTACACACATCTCCACTGGATGAATGTAAGCTCCTTGAGGGCAGATATTGTTTCACTTTTATATTTGTATACTTAGTGCCTACTACACAGTAGTACTTATATGCTTACTGTTGTTGTTCATTCCTTGTTTTCAAAGAGTACTAATGACATTACATTGAGCAGTCTTGACTTTTGTGTGAATTGGATTTAAGTGAGGTAGAGTAGTGAAAAGTTGTCAGCCTCATTCTCTCTTCCAGAATCATCCAAGTCCAGTGGCAGGATAAAAGTCAAGATGACTAGCAATGCAGTGGATGACCTTGGCATCTTTCATCTCTGACCAAGCTTCAGCCATCTTCATGGTCATTGGAACGTGCACAGGGTAGGCATTCCCTTAAGTCACCAGTGGTTTGAAACCTGTTGGCTACCCTCAACCTGGTTTAGCCCATCTGGTCCTTAGAGTACAGCAGCAAAACAACTGGGATTGCCTCCTTTTTAGTGTTATACACCTTGATAAAATCACATCTGTCTTTGAGGTTGGACCATTTGACCATGCTAAGGACTCTACAGGTAAGAACCTCTCTTTTCCCAGTTTTCAGTAGCAGTGATTCCTTAGGAGGTAGGCACTACAACATTGGCAGAGATGGTTGCCAGGTCACACCTCCACAAGGATTGCTTCCTTGCATGGTGACTGTGGGGGCTGGGCTGGAAACAGGGTAAGTAGCTAGGCAGGGGGTAGATGTTGCTA